AAAAAAAAAAAAAAAAATCATGAACTTGATGTTTATTGAATGTGACAATTAATCCCATGCATTATTGCATTTATTAATTTCCCCCGACCCCAGCAGCATGTGCATTTTCTTTCCCTCAAAATCTAATTACAGTAATTTAAAAATTTTTAAAACCAGTCCACGCAGTGCCGTTGAAAGGAGAGAGGCAAACTGTGTTAGAGAGATACTGTCGAAATTATAGAAAATTAAAGCTCAAGTTTGAAGTTTTGAAAAGAGACAAAACAGACAAGAGTTAATTAGACCAAGATACAGCTTGGATTTCCAAGACACACCTTCTCTCCCCTTATGTTACTATTACTCTATTCTTGTCCTCATGTTACCCTCACTCACTGCTTCTTCCATTTTCCTTCTCTAACTTTTAATTCAAAGTTTCAAACTTTCAAAATCTCTGCTCCTACTTTCTCTCTCTGTTTCCCTTTTGCCTTCTCTCTCTTTTCTGCAAAGCTTCAAGCTTTGCATTTGCTCAAACGTTTTCTCGTAGGATCATTTCCCACCTAATTTCCTCATTCGCATGCCTATAGCTGTAAGATACCAAGGTGAGAATCGCTCTCTTTGCTGTTAATTTTGAAAGAAGCTTGCTTTTTTGATCTAGTATCTGGGTTATATTTATCCTGTTCAAGCTTGCATTTCATGTTTTGTTTCCAAGAAAGGACCATTCTCTGGGAAAGTAGGATTTAGGATTTTCTTCGGGTTTTCTTTCTATTCTCCCATCTGCCAAACACTCTGGAATTTAGACATGGTAACCAGCAAACATCCAGACAGAGGAATAGGTTTAAGATCTGAATATTATTCTATTAGATTTTTCTAGAGAAGAAACATTACTGAGGCAGGCAGTTTTCTTAAATGGTAGAAGTAGGAATCTTTTAGTTTTCTTTCCTTTGATCCGTTTGAAAATTGACCTAACATCACACAGTTAAGAACTAAGAAAAAAAATTGATTGCCTGTCTGTCTGTCTGCACTCTGCACTCTCTGCGCTATGGGCCAAACATTTCAAACCTTCTTCTGGGTATATTGTTTTTACTTTCATTCACCATCACACGCGCGGTTGCGGCGCGTGAATTGAGTTGCTTCTGGGTCCATGGATCTCATTTTTAAGGCATGTCTGGACCTATATGATCTTTCAACCTTAGGAAATACTACCCTTGTCAAAATTTACAGTGTCCCATTGTTTGATGTGGATGGATGGTGTAAAAGACAATAACTTTTTCACTGCCCTAGAAAGGAAGCAAAGGCAATAGCAGAGAAGGCTAAAGCCCTAGGAGATTGGGAAAGTTGTAAACATTTTTGGATTTTTCATTCAGAATATGTATGCATGCTGGTTCTTGTTTGACATTTCTGTAATTTTCTGGTTTAGAAGTTTGAGAAATGTGAGGTTTCATATATTTTCATTTTTTAATTGTCTGGTTATTTGTAAAGACATTTCTTTTGTTTCTCTGCAAATAAGATAACAAAAACATTCACAAAGAATTGAAAATATCAATTGTCAAGTGCATGTTCCTTAGGTTACTACATCTAGGTGTAGAAATAATCATTTCCTTTCCTCTAAATTCATTAATTAGATGGGTTCTGTCCTGATTTCATTAACATAAAAAACCTTTAACTTTGGTAAATATTTTCATCCCATAGGAATCTAGGAAAGACTTATGCTTTCTTTCAATTATTGACATGGCGTATCTGTTTCCCAAGATTAAATATTATATAGGTTTTATGCTAAAATTAAATGGATGGTCCTAGCTTGAGGATATGGTGGGGCTAAGTAAAGGACGTATGAAAAGCAAAAGTGTCCACTACAAAGCAGTATGTTGCACAAATGAGTTAAATCATTTTCCTTCTGTGAACATTAGAAGAAGTTGTTGAAAAGAATTACTATTATTTGGCATGTTCTTCCTGTTTTTTCAACTTTCTCCAGGAGGACAAATTTGATGTAGGTAATGGGAATGAATCATCCCTTTCACCATTCTTTGACTTAGTTTTACTAAACTTATCGATGAATTATGATACATGTTGAGAAAATTCTGTGGTTGTTTGCTTAGGTGGGGAAAACTCTAAAGCTGTACCTTTTGCACCACATGCCATTGTTGGGCCACCTGAAAATTATTGTTTGGGATTTCTTGGTTTTTAGTTTCAACTTGGCCTGTAGATCTTTTCATGCATATATAAAAAAATATAACATGTGGGCACATTAGATGATTTTTTTGGTACGTTAGATCATGGACCATATAACAAAGAATAGCCCTCTCATTCCCAAACCCCTACCCATGCATCCTAGGATATGAATTTGAGATCTTCAACATGGAGACTTAAGCTCTTAACCATTGGGACGTCCCTTAGGAGACAGGCACATCAAATGATAGATGATGGAAGAGAATAGCTATTCTGTTTTCTTAAGTTCTAAGAAAGGACCTATCTTAGTTGGATGGCCAAACATGTATCTTGGACTTGTTGCATGCTCGTGCTCATTTTGAACTTTGATTCCTTGTTGGGTTTGCGGCTGTATTGACCTACTGATTTGCATTCTCTCCACTCAATGTATAAGAAAAGTAATTGCCTCCAAACAATTCTTCAAGGTCTAATCAATTTACATTTAAAGGAACCAAACTACGAAGGCATGCATCTTCAAGAGTGCTGAAATTTAACTTACCCTCAGTTCCATAACTTATTTGCTATTACATCTTAACTTTTGCAGGTCACTAGTACTTTGCAAGAGAGTCATTCTATATTACCATTCTTTAGTTGTTCAAGGACAAAATGCCGAGATCAAGGTAAGAGTATCTAATTGTTGATGAAAATGCTGTTCTTTTTTCTTCCTTGTCCAAGATTGATTTTGAGATGCATCACTTTTTCAAACATAATATTTGTTTTTGTTACTCTTTCCATTTTCAGATTCCATGACATTTCTTACATGGAAAAGTTTTTAATTGTTGAACAGAGTTACTCTTTACTACTCTCATGGTGTTGATTGCTGTGAATTTTGATTATCTTATGAAGAAGCAACCAGTATCAT